ATCTTATATTTTATGTTTTGAATTTAAGTTTTATAAATTAAAAAAATGTATTACAAAAACTTTTTTTTTTTTGCTATCTAAATTAATTTTAAATTAATCAAAATTTAATGTAATTTTAGAATATTGAGAAGTTAATAAAAAAAAAACCATATATTTTACCATATAAATTTACTAACTATTTTTAATAACTTTATTTTTTATCTTATTTTATTAAAAACATTTTAATAATTTTGTAAATAAAAATAAAGTTTTTTTAATGCACAGTTTTATCAATAAAACAAGAATTCTTTATTTTATTTTTATGCAGTCTGTTTGCTTTCTGGGTTAACATGCAGACTTCCTATTCTGACCGACACGGTGATGAAATTCCTCCTTACACCGGAATTTCATAATCCCCTTTAAAAGTTTACTCGGCAAAAATACATACAGAAATTGCAATCAAGATTTCATTTTCCCCTGGTTTTTGTTTCTTTTCTCTGTAAATTGTTGTTATTTTCTTTGTTTCCATCTTCCTCTGTCGAATTTAAGGGCGTGGACCCAGAATGGCATGGAATGTATTCAAGTTCTGTACGGCACTGCGTGCCCTGGGTTCTATAATGATCGTAGTGGTTATTGGCATCGTTGGGGTCAGCTATTATTCTGTTGTTATAGCCATCTATGGTCCAGCTCTCTTACATGGAGGCACTGATACCTTCGTCTCTCTCGTTGTCTTGTTCTTCTTCCATTTTCTGGTACGCTCTTTTCATGTTATGAAATTTCAGTTTTTTCTCGATTTTGGATGTCTCTAGAGCTGAAAGGGGAAAATGGGTAGTTGTAGTTTCTTTGATTTCTCATTATTTAAACTTGGTTGTTCTTGATTGATTTTGTTGAGTAAGAATCTGCAGAATTTGCTAGAGCTTGGATTTAGTACCTGTTTTTGTTACTCGATTCCTATATCAAGGTGTGAAATTGATATTTCCTTGTTTGAAAAATTGAGCATGCGTTTGGGTTTTGCTTTGCATTATATGTGCATGTTTACAATTAGTTACAATAATTTGGAACATTTGTGAGTTGTGAGTCAAACAGAAGATGTGTTTTTCATCTCAAACTTAATCCAAAAGAAGGAGAACTTTGATCAATAAGTAGGAGGGTAAATTGGGGGATTGAAAACTTTGCTTAGTGATTAGCCTTTGTAAAAGTCTAAGAAGTAAACTCATTCTTTTGTAGCAGCTTTATTAGCTGCCAAACTTGTATACTGATAGTTGGTGGATAAATAAAACCATTCACATTTTGTCCAAAAAAGTAGAGGGAGTGTAATCAGACCTGCATTTTGACATACTTAACTTTGTTTTGTAGTTGGTGATGTTACTATGGAGCTATTCTTCTGTTGTTCTAACGGATCCAGGTGGTGTTCCACCAAATTGGGGGCCTTTACGGGATGAGGAGATAGCTGATACGGATCCACTGATGGTTTCTGGGTATGGAACTCCAGATTTAGATGTAAATCAGTTGCCAGTGGTTAGTGACACCACAAACCAAGAAATACGTTTCTGCCGGAAGTGTAGCCAATTTAAACCACCCCGTACCCATCACTGTTCTGTCTGTGAGTTATTTTGATTAGATTCTTCCAGTATAAATTCTTGTGCGTACATATGCCAGAAATGCTAAAGCTTTATTTTCATTTTTTGTTATCAGGTAAGAGGTGTATCCTAAAAATGGATCATCATTGTGTATGGGTTGTCAACTGCGTTGGGGCATTGAACTACAAGTATTTCCTTCTCTTTTTGGTATGTTAATTTAATTCTATGAAGTTTTTCAAGATCTTTCACCATTCATGCAACCAGTTGTTTCAAATATAAAGAGAAAAAGTGTAAACTACTATAGGCAAAGGATAATTCTGATATGCATTTCATCTTTAGTCCTTTCTTGTTTGTTAATGAGCATCAATATTAATAAAATTGTGGTCAAATACTAGTGTCTAGAGCTTTCAATATTGGTCTTCTGAGTTGTTGTAATCTGTCATAGCTGTGCATACTTATTTTTTAAGTGGAATAATGGGAGAGTTTGATGAGAAAATGCATGAGATACCTTTATCAAACTTAGATACAGCATTTCTATGCTTAAGGATGGAGCTTTTCTGACCATCAAAAAATGAGATGGCACTTCTCTGGTAAATTGGTAATGTTGAAGACTTGCAGAACACCTTGCAGAACATGAATTTTGTTTTGGCTGCTTATGTGAGACTTTGAAATTTAAACTGTTTCAAGTTTCATATAAGAGAATTAACCGAGTGGGTGAAACATTGAGATTACTTGTGTAATTTAATCTGTGCGTGTATTTACTGGAATTTTATTGCTCCATATGGTCAGCAAAAGGAAAACAGCTGTTTGTGACACACATCATAGAATCCCAACATTCATGTTTTCCCACTATTTGTATCCAGAGAAGAGCTTGAACCTTTTTCTTCTGTTCTAAGAAATTTAGTGGCTAGCTTTTTTGGTAGGTAGTTGTAGTCTTGTAGAACAAAATATATCTGTATTGCTTTCACTTAGCTTCATTGAAGATAGCTTGGGCTGATTTACCATGACATCACTTCAATGAACCTTGTTGTTGTAATTGAGGCAACCAAAATAGAAGTTCGGACTTTTTTCCAGTTGCATGGTTTTCTTGTGGCATTTTCACTTGGAATATTGAGACATGTATTACCAATTGTCTGTCATATTGGTTTAAAATTGCATATTCCTGAGCATGCCTTTAATGCAAAACGCGACTACTGAGAAGGGGAAACAATCTGAGTTGTATTCTTTGTTGATTAATTTCATGCAGTTTTACACATTTCTTGAGACAACTCTTGTCAGTCTATCATTACTGCGGATTTTTGTTGCTTTTTTTGCTGATGGTGAGATATCAGGAACACCAGGAGCCATTGCAGCCATTTTTATCACCTTTGGTATGTGCTACAGTGCTAGAGAATTTTTTTGCATGTTTCTTTCCAACTAGTTTATTTTCTGTATCTTTGACAAATGCCTTCTCAATTCGTTCAGTTTTAAACATTGCATTTGCATTGAGTGTCATGGGCTTTCTAATTATGCACATATCATTGGTGGCTGCCAATACCACCACCATTGAGGTAATGCTGTCTTCTATTTACTTTTCCCCCTTTGTTTTCTATAGAATAAGCAAATATTCAACTCTCACGTAATGCTCTCGCCTTCTCTCTTCCATCATTTTTGCTCAGGCATATGAGAAGAAATTGGATCCCAAGTGGTGTTATGACCTTGGTTGGAAGAAAAATTTTGAACAGGTTACTTATTTCATTTTTGTTCTTTTTTATGCTGATCCAATGATTGTTTCTGTCTCTCCATCTCTTCCTAGTAGCTTTTTCTTTTTCAAGATGGTAAACGCCATTATTTTTTATCAGTGCTTTAATTAAACTTATGAAAGGGGGATCTAAAAAATAAAATTTCACTCTTGCTAACAGTAAAAAACCCTTGTTCAGCTGCTCCCTTGACTTCTAATTTCCATATCCAAACTACACCCCATGCAAATGAAATAATGCTCACCTAAGCTTTAAGTTTAGCACTGTGGTAGGTGGATGATCTTTACTGGGTCCTCAGTCTCTGTGGTGTGACTCGGCTTTTACTAGAGATAGAAAGAGACCCACTTCTTGTTCTTAAACGTCACCTGCTCATTTTTACATCCTTCTTTACCTTTCGTTCATGGAGCTAATAGCTTGAATTATTGGATGCTTACCTCTCAAGAAATGATTTACATTCAAGAAACCTGTCCAGAGAAATCTCAGTACTAATTAATCACTAATTAATCATGTTTCCTGTTTACATTTTTTCTCTATTTCAGGTATTTGGAAATGATAAGAAATTCTGGTTCATCCCTGCGTATTCAAAAGAAGACATGAGACGGATACCAGCTTTACAAGGTTTTGAGTATCCAATAAGGCCAGACTTGTATCCACTCCAGGAGCTTTAACTACAGGCAGCAAAAAGAGTTATTCCAGGTCCTTCAATACCTGTGGGCTTTGTATTCTGATGTACATAATGTGTAACTCATCACCTGAGCTGCGTTTAGTCTTTCAAAGAATGAACTAATAATGTAATCATAAGGTATACAACAGAGAACAGCAGTATGCTGTTATTCTTTCCTAAACTCCTGTTTGCCATTGACTGTAGTGTAGTCGGCGAGAGGGCGCAGTCTACACCTTGTGGTAATTTCTCGTAAATCCTTGAATTCTCATATGAATGGTAATTTGGCCTTCAATTTTTCCTTTTTGTTTTGGGTAGTTGACATACTTTTTTTAATTTATTTTTGGAACAAATTTGTAAGGGACCGGAATCGAATCGTTATTCAAGGGAAGAAGAGATACATTTTATGTGTGGCTTGAGGTCACTGGCCGAAAGCCCAAGTGCTGGTGGTTGACATACTTAATATTGCAAAAGTTTAAATTTAAATTAATATTTTTAAATTGAGTGATTTAGCATAAGCATTTTATACAAAATTTATATATAAGTAAATTTTTATTCTTTTAAGTTATTAAATATGGGATTAGTATTTATCCGCCTTACTTCCAAAAAATTAGGAGAAAAAAGAACAAAAAAACACCTTAATGCATGCTTTAAAAATAAAGTATTTTAATATTTTTCAATGGGTATTTATTGAAACGACTTAGTTTTGAGATGATTTTCCTCATAATCTTTAGAAGGTAAGGCTGATAGGCACTATTCTTATTAAATATTAACTCAACAAATACTTTTTTGATGGGGATTTACGACTAAAACTAACATTTAGCCCCTCACTTTACAAAATTTATAGGTTTTAGTCATTAACCTTATAATATGATACTTTTAACCCTTTACCTTAAAAAGTTGGTAGGTTTAAACCATTCACCTCATAAAGTTGGTAGGTTTAAACCCTTCGCCTCATAAAGTTGGTAGGTTTAAACCCTTCGCCTCATAAAGTTGGTAGGTTTTAGCCCCTCACTTTATATTATGACACTTTGAACCTCTTATCTGTACGAATTAAAGAAAATAACTTTTATTTAACATAAAATTTTAATATTCTATTAATTCTATTAACTGACTGTCAGTTCTGTTAGCTGCTTGTCAATTTTATTAGCTGACTGTTAATTTTGTTAGTTGACTATTAGCATCCGTTAGCATTCCGTTAATGAAACTAACAAATAAAATTGAATTTAAATTTCATATTTTTTTATAATAGAATGCTAACAGATGTTAACAGTCAACTAACAGAACTAATAGAACATTATAATCTGATATTAGGTAAATGTTATTTTCTTTAATTCGTATCGTTGATTGGTTAAAAATATCATAATATAAGGTAAAATGTTAAAACCTACCAACTTTATAAGGTGAGAGGCTAAAACTTACCAATTTTGTAAGATAAAGAGCTAAAACTGTCATATTATAATGTGAGGAGCTAAAATCTATTAATTTTGTAAGGTGAGGAGCTAAATGTTGGTTTTTACCGAGGATTTACACACTCAAATCCAATGGTTCTTTAAAATCTTCAATTTAATTTTTCGTGCTGGTAGAAAATCAAAATTTATAACTCTCTAAGTCTTCCATAAAATAAATATTGTTTTATAAATTAAATTTAAAATTTAAAATTAATATT